TATTTCACAAAATAAGAATTTCACCATCCCTTGAGATTTTGAAAATTTGTATTTTAAAGGTATTTTAATTTTCTGCATGTTACTTGTGCTCGGTAAATAATCCTGTCAACATGAGATTTTTATATTTTCAAAATAAAAATAGAATTACAAGGAAAACCATAAATATTTAATACAATACTCAAAATGATCACAGGATATTTACAGCTTATATCTTTTTACATATGCATATCAAATAATACAATATATCTATTATTCAGTGTTAAATTTTTCTCTAATTTTCTTGAGAAACTTGAGATATTTAATCTTACAATTTCAAATATAACTATTTAAAAATGCAACTATAGAGATATGAAGACATTTTACTTCTTTTTTGATGATAACAAAGGCTTTGTGAGTGATTAATGATTTTAATAATATCTTGCTTCTCTCATCAGCTGTCTGTATTATCACTTTCTAATTTTAGATTTTTATTAATTTGAGTCTATAATTCTTGTTATTTTTGAGTAACCTTATGTACTTTTAATTAACATACAGTGTTTTTCTTTTACTTTAATAGGAATATTCAGTGGAGAAGTGCTATTATGCACAAGGATAAATTAATCCATCTTCTTCCAAAACAATAACATATTCCTATATATGCACAGTACTTTACATATTTACCATGATTTCCATGGTGAATAATTTGTACTTTGTGCCGCAGTCTGGCTGGGCACAAAATCAGGAGCCACTCACACATTGTAGATTCAAACAGCAACTCTTTATTCTCGATCTGTCACCGCCACTCTACACATAGGTTCTGGGCAAAATCCACGTTCTGGGCAAAATTCATGTTCCCACTGGGCTCTGCATCCCAAATACTCTCTGAATCCCAGGAGAACTCAATGGGAACTCAAGGAGTGGGCGTGCCTGAGGCAGCAGGATATGCCCTATTCCCAGCAGGGTACACCTTAAACCTGGAACCGCCCTAAACCCAAGGAGCAGGATACTCCCTAAAACCTGATACTCCCTAAAACCTGATCCGCCCTAAACCTGGATCCGCCCTGGTCCTTGAGCAAGGTCACCTTACTCAAGCATACATGCAATGTCACTGCAAATGACCTGGGTCCAAAGGCAAGCCCATTTCCACAATGGAGAGTCCTTCCTCTAAGCAAGATGGAGTAGGCTGACAAAGAAATTGCCATGTGTCATTCCTACTTGACAATGGCTCTCAGCAGCCTTGCACTTCTCTCTCTCTCTCTCTTTTTTTTTTCCTCATGGTGCTGGGGTTTGAATGCATGTTAGGCAAGTGCTCTATCACTGAGCCACAACCTCAACAGTGTCTTGCAATTCTCTTAAATTCAAAGCAGGGTTAAAATAACCAAGAACTTTTGAAAATTGAGATATTTAAACTTGCATCTTGCGCATTATAATGAAAATGAAAAGTATAATATATGTATTTCTTTCATTACTCCCAAGTGTCTTGTTTTTTAACATTTCTGAGTATATGTTATATTTTAGGTTTTGCTTCAGTTATGCAGTTAATGCTCAGAAAATACCTTGGCATTTGTTTTAGTCATCTTTTGGTTGCTGTGACTAAAAAAGACCTGACAAGAACAATTTTCTAGGAGGAAAGTAAATAAAAGTTTATTTCAGAGGTCTTAGTCCATAGATGGCAAGGTCTATTTTCTGTGCCCCCAAAGAAGTAGAATGTCATGGTGGGGGCAGGAGGCATGGCAGAAGAAAGGAGCTCAAGATGTTGCTGGAGGAGAGAGAAATTTTGGGAGATCCCCATAAGGGACAAAATATATACTCATAGACATGCCCCCAATGACCTTCTTCCTCCTGCCACATCCTACCTGCCTATAGTTACCTCCCAGTTAACCCCTATCAGGGGATTAATGCACTGATTAGTTAAAGTTGTTATAACCCAATAATTTCACCTCTAAACTTTCTTGAATTGTCTCACATGTGAGCTTTTGGGGAATACCTCATGTCTAAGCCATAACAACATTCAAGATATTTTTTCAAAAGTATTATGCTTCTGCTCTTAACCAAATTACTATATTACACAATATGAATGAACAGAAGGTGCTTCTTGCCACAAAGAAGAGACTAGACTTATCCTTCAGAGATATAGCCATTTAAAAAAAATAAAAGATCTCAGCTTTATAAAGGAAAAGAATAACTAATTTCTAAGTAGTTTTACTTTTTATAAGTTTAGTTTTAAAGAAAATCTGTTAAATTTACTTATGCAATATAAACACAGAATGTCTTTGTTTTGCTATATGCTAGGGTTCTGAGTTAGAATATAGGACAATTGTCATTGATTTCTGAATATTACTTTGAAACATTTCATTGTTTCAATTGGTGTTTCTAACTTACTTTTCTTTCTTTCTTTCTTTCTTTCTTTCTTTCTTTCTTTCTTTCTTTCTTTCTTTCTTTCTTTCTTTTGGAGTGTTCTTAGTGTTCTCTCATACTTACACATATACTCTATTTTGAGCATACTTTAGTCTGGAGTTATGTCATTGGGATGGATGGAGGAATGGGTAGATATGATAAGCTATAAAAAAGAAAGCTCACAAGTCTATTCTTCCCCAGAACTTTGCATGAGTTCCTTGGTTCTTTCATTGAAAATAGAGACCCTAAAAGCAGCAAAATTGATGGGAAGGTACATCAGATTTCTTAAAATGTTGAAAATCTCTTACAAGCAACCACATTGACTGGAAAAATAATTCAAAACTGAATTATTACAAACTCAATGATTCACAATTGAGTCAGATAATTATAAAATTATTTCCCTCAGAAATGACTGAAAAGAGTACTAAAATTTAATATTAATCATTTTTACTTTTTCTTATGAATAAACACTGATCTTTAAATTCAAAGTCATTCTACATTGTTTACTATTATGGCCCATTGTCAGTTTATCCTTATATCAGAATCTGCATATGCTATTATATGTTTGCATGATAGTTGTTTCAATAGTGGATATTGTTATAGTACTATAGGTCAGTATAAATCAATGAGGGAACAGTTAAGCAGTATCCTCACCAAATATTGTAGAATAGAGGCCACTAGGTATTGCAGAGTAGTAGTCTATCAGTCCAGGCAAATGATCCATTTTTAAAAATCTGAATTATTTTAAACATAGATTAGAAAATATAGAATATTTATTAAAAAATGGAACATGACTGACCATGAAATTACCTTTTAGAAGACAATTGGATTATTCACCTAAAAAAGGTTTAAATTTACAAATGACGGATCCTAAAGAGTTATCAAACTGCTAAAGAGCAGTTTACTCTTTAGCAGTTTGATAACACCAATGGCCACCTATTTTAGAACATTTTATATGCATAAAGTAAAATAAGGTGAGTAAGCAGAATTACGTTTCATTGAAATGTAGTCTACAACTTGAGAATTCCATGTAGGAAATAAAATATGTTAAACCTTATTTACTTATTATTTACACTTATCAGTTGTTGCTATGTGAAGTTATTTATATATTCCCAACTTTATACTCACTCAAAATATAGGTGAAAATTCTCAAGTTTTATATATTGGTGTTGATTCTGCTGTGAAACTGGGAAACTCAGGTGTCTGGCTTTAAATTTTCTTAAGTTTTACCTATTTAAACCTATTCTTACCAGATTGTGGGTATAGGAGCCTATCTTGACTTTCTCTGTGTTATCAAAATTTAAAATATAACTTTTTATTTCCCTTAACTGTGAAAATACATTTTGGGAAAGTTTTCACTTCTATTGTGGTTCTTCTGCGTTTCACTTATTAACCTATTTTCATCTCACATTATGATAATTATATATTTCTTATTTTTTGTGGAACGAAAATATAAAGAAAATTTAGGAGATTGCAGGATGTGATATAAAAAAAATCCAGTATTTACTTTCTAAAATCTTCTAATTTAAAGTCTTCTGGTTTAAAATTATATGATATTTGGGAAATTGTGTCCTTTTCTCTTTTTCTTTAATTGCTTGTAGTTTTTCACTATCAAAAATAAGGTTGAAAGAATTTATAGTTAAAGTGGAAGTTCTGGTGAGATTAATGCTGTTTTACTCACTATAATATATAAGCATATTTGTTTTGTAATCACAACTGGGTGGAAATATAATAACATTTTTTGGAGTATTACTTTGGTTTATACTACTTTGAGTTCTAGACCAAACCGAATGTTTTTAAGGTTTCTTACAAATTGTGGGGTTGGTGTTAGAAAGCATTTATTGATCAAGTTATGAATAAAAGCATTATATTAGGTTTCAGGAATACAAAAATCAATAATGATAAGTTATTTAAATTTACTATTTTTTTCAACAACCATTAAGTTTTAGTGTTCGATTTATTTGTGGTCAAAGAGACCACATTATTTCAGTGAATTAAGACACATTTTGAGTTGTTTGGTATAGCTAAAGTACACTGAGGTAGATGACTGATTAACCAGATCCCTAGAGTGATTTCTCTTTGGGGTCATGTTTAAATATGGCTGCATACTTCAAAGGTGCCCTATTTTTGTATAACCTCAATTTGATTTTTCTGTCTGAATGTTCAGGTTTATCAGAATATTATTATTGTGTTGAAAGTATTTTTATATCTTAGTTGGTATACTAATAAACAGTGTTAGGGGCTTGAGAATCAATGTTTACATCATTTTCTTCACTATTTTGAAAATATTAGGAAAAGTCACTGAATTCCTTTAAAATACAATAATACTTCACACAGTTCACATGTTATGTTTAGGAGATTCATTTTGGAAAGCAGGCAGTTTTGGTTTTCATTGATTATAACTCCTATTATGTTCAACGGGAGTTTTTATTATACAGATTGCGATTCCTTAGAAATTCTTAAGAAGTTTAGTGAGATTTTGCTCAAAATATGTTGGGGAAATTTTTTTAAACATACTCAATAATTTTAAACAATTACCTTTCTCAAAATCAGTTTGATGCATCATGACCAAATAGAAGAAGGGCACAAAGATCAACTGAGCTGCTTTTTGACTAACGTTTCAGGGATTGTGAAGCAGCAGATAGACAGCCATATCACAGATCCAGATCAACAGAACAACGGCCTCACCTTGAGCGGACCACCACCCGCTCCAGATCCACTGAACGTCCTGATACAAACCTCATGAGGTCGATGCCTTCATTAATGACTGGAAGATCTGCCCCTCCTTCACCTGCCTTATCGAGGTGAAAGATAAATCAATCAGACTAACTTCCCCCTTTGCACCACCAGCACACCATTTTATTTTCCCAGCAGCTAAATGGTTTCTTCTATCATCTTTGATTGATCACTAGTAACAGTCAATACTAACCTTTTCAATGTAAACACACTATTTATATTCAGCGGATATAATAGTGTGTGGTTACCATTGTAATTTGTTTATTAACTGTCCTGACTGCATTTGTTTTGTGATTTCTCATTAATCAGGAGTCCTGGGTAAATGCCCTCATAACTATCATGTTCTTCTCCTACAGAATGAGAAATTACTTGTGTCCATTAGACATCACTTTTCTAATGTTCATCATAATGACACTAGTCAAAAGTAGAATTTTAGTTTCTTTCTGTCAACACTAATATCATGTATTAACCAGTGTTTTCTTTAGCTGAATTTTGAATTACTCGGGTTTTATTTGTAGTCTCATATTTTCTAATGAAGGGATGTTTAATATAAGCCTGAGTAAAAATGTCTTTGGATCAAGAGAGGAAGATTAATGTTAAGTTTGAAATCTGGTAGAAAGAAGTGTGAGGTAGTAGTTTTTATTTTTTGAGCTACAGAATTCTCCTCTTTCATATAGAAAGAAAACTAATTTACATTAACTATTCCATGTATTTTATCATAGGGTTTTGTGTGCATGTATGTGTGTATGTATGCATATTACATAAAAATGTAAACATCTTTTGGAATTTAAATAATCATTCAAATATCCATATTTTGTTCTGTTTTCCTAACCTTTTAATCAGCAGCTAAACCTCTTTTTAAAAAGCACTTACACAGCTATCATATGAACCAAATGTATTAAAAGCATTTAAGTCATTGTACTGAAAATGAATATCAATGATGTATCTTGTAGGTCTCATCCTCGAACTGGGTCTGTCCAGACCAGCCCATCAAGTACTCCAGTGGCAGGACGAAGGGGTCGACAGCTTCCACAGCTTCCACCAAAGGGAACATTGGAGAGAAGTAAGTTTTATTTCTAATTTTATCACAGGGGAAATACACATGGAAGCCAAGGTGAATCAAGATTTTATTATTACCTTTGTGATAGTTATCTTCTTATGTTAATGGTATGCCTTACTGAACGTGATAGTAGTTTTATTTATGAATATTATATATTCTATGTTTAAAATTATATTATTTGGAGGTAAAGTAAGCTATCAATTTTGCTCTTGCACATTTTTCAAATGTGAATAAATGCATTTTAAAAGTAAACTTAATAGTCTTAAATAAGCACTTGGATGATATTTCTTTGCTGCAACTAAATTTATGTAATTGTTGATAGTTACATAAAGTTTATTAGTAACTAGCTAAATCAATTTTCACACACTGCAAAGGACTGGTTAGCTGATGCACACCAATGGTGATCCTTCTCAAATCTGGAGTACAAGAAAAAGGTAATCATGAATATATAAAGAAAGATGCATGTTGTACTGATGTTTTTAACAATTTCAAATTTTTACATAAGATGCAATATTTGCTGACAAACATGAACATTCTTCTAAAACATTTATAAATTTATAAAGTTTTGGGTAAAGAACCTTTAAAAGCATGGATATCAGAATATTTTAACCTCATTTAAAAAATGATCCCTTTATTTGGTAACTGGGTGTGTTTTGCAAAAGTATATATACATGCATATTTATAAAAGTATATATCTTAATCACCATTAAATTTTCTTTAATATACAATTCATTCTATGCCTTTGGAAATTTCTGTTGTTTTTAACCCCTGTGCTTTGGTTCCCTTTTTTTGTTTTGTTTTGTTTTTATTTTATTTTCCCTAGACAATGGAGTCAAGGAGATAGAACCTTATGAAGGTCTGTACATAAAGGAGGGTTTGTTTTGTGCCAACAGCCTTTTGGGGGGGCTGTTAAGCAAAAATAAACCCAACTGCAATTGATGTCCCTTCATTACATAGTTTTATGTACAGTAAAATTATTTTGTTTTATGATTCTGATAAAGTATTCAACTTTTATTTTACTTGGAAATGAAAAGAAGGAGTTAAATTTCATTGATTCATCAAGTGAGAATGCAAAGAATGTAACTTCTTTTAAATGAGTAAAAAATATTTGCTCTTTTGAAAATATTTAATTTCCTTTTTAGGCCAAATTCCAGATTTTGAGTAAAACTTTAACCAAAGATATCAATTGCAGTCTGTGTTTATGTCATTAAGGATGTAAACATAGTCTAGTTATATTTATCATCATATATTTCATTTTATATTTATGATGATATTTTAATTATTAAATTTGGCTTTCTTGAAAAGAAAGTTTTTGAATTAGATAGTGATTGTGGTTTGTATTTCCTACATCATTTTTGATATTGTAGCAAGATTGCTTATAGTATTCAAAGTTAAACGATAGTTTTATGATTTTAGTACTAAACCCTTCATTATGACTCAAGATAGAATATAAAATTATGATATATGGAGTATTTACAAAGACATGGAATATTTACTTTTAAAAGACAATAAAATCCCCTACTAATTATAGAATTCTGAAACTGTTGGCTCTTTTATTTACTGATGAATGTCCAACACATAGAATAATGCCCACATTGTAAGCCCAGAATAAATATTTGTTGAATGAATGCATGAAATGTTTATCTAAAAATTGCAAAGCTACCTAAGATAATGTATAAAGTGCCACTAAACTAATTTTGTCATGACTTATTGTAACAAATTTGTAAATGCTTTGCATTTGAGTAGCAATGTTTTTATTGCCTTATGTAACTTGATAGAAAATGTATTCTTGTTAGTTGTAACTGAATGGCTACCAACTTCTATTTTGTGGTTCATATATATATATATATATATATATATATATATATATATATCATAATAGAACAATTCAGTGCTGTTGTGATTAGAGGTCTGTTATGCTGCCTGGTAAAAAGATTTGAGCAGCATTTCTATAATTCTCCATTATTTGCATAAGACTGGGAAGCCTAATATTTTAAATGACTTTCCACAAGGAAAATTCAATAATTATGGATTTTTTTGTCTCCTCAAGATTTTTAAAGGTAGAATTTCAGCATCATTTATTGGCATATGAAGTCAGAAACATAAAAGATTACGTCACAATTTTCTAAAATTTTAATTTAAATATCTTGTAAAGCAATAGTCTACTGACATAAGACTAGATCTCTATTTTTTTTTGGTAATACCAATTATGCCAGAAAACTGATAATATTGTTGATACTGAACATAAGGATTGATAAAGGTTCTAAGGGATTATCAACAAATATTCTAATTACTATTTGTCTTTTTTTCCTTTATAGAATCCATTAAAACCACAATTTTCCTTTAGTGTCTCCAGTTGCAATTTTTCCATATTTTTATTTTATAAAAGAAAGATGAGCTAAAACTTCCTTCATCCTTTTCAGTAGGAAATTGGAAGTTTTTTTTCTTTTTTAAAAAACTTAATAGTATGGATGATTTTTTTAAAAAAGTATTTTCATAAGTGTTTATATGGAGACTTGAATAGATACATGACTGTAATTTCATTAGTTTTAACTATGAAAATTATCTATTATCTCTTTAAGAGGTCTTCAATTTCTAGTTGAAATTACATATGTGGTAACTCAAAATAAATAATTCAAAATAAATCTCATCAAATTATTTTCTCAGTACTGCCTAAAAAGTTAGTTGTCAGAACTTGTATTTTGATGTCATTAGTTTAGAATTAAAATATTGAAATATTTATTTTCTAATCCTCCTCAGTGACTAAAAGTTTAGCAAGTTCTATTTTAACTATGATTTTGGTTAAGTATTTTATATTGTCTTTTAATTTAGTTAGTTTAAATTCATACATTTTGGTTTTTATTTTAGTTACTTTTTGTTGAAAGAGAAATAAAATAAGAGCAATATGGAAAATGTAATGTATTCAGTAATTACAAGACTTTATCATTATTATTTTATTTTCCCCTTATTTTGTTGTACTGCCATTATGTAAAAATAAAAGTTTGTCATATCATTTTTGTTTCTCCAAAAGGAACGTTATATAGTATTATTTTTTCTAATAATATTCCATGTCAATAGACAAAGCATTTTGCATATTTTACCTAGTTTCTCACATATTCCAAATATATTGAGCTCACCATTTCTCCTTTTACAAATCAGCATCATCATAAAAGCAGACAGTGTGATAATTCACTAACAGTAAACTTGGTTTGCAATTACATCAATCTCCTTATAATCACTCATTATACAATTATGAATGTTTTTGTTTGTTTTATTTAATTTAAAAGTAATTATTATACCTATCTAGTCTTTTTTTTTTCTTTACTTTTACTCATGTAAATACGGAAGTTAATGAAGAAACTGTGCATGTGGAAGAGAAGGGGGTAGAAAAGCTGGGAGAAGAGGTCAAGGCAGGTCTGTCTGTGTGTTTAAAATAAATGAATGATTTCACATGACTTTGGGCCACATTATGAATGTGCAGTAAAGAACAGATTTCTGCTTTTCAATACTAATTTTATAATAAATTGTCTGATTTTATTAATGAAGAGATATTATTTAACCTGTCTAGGCAACATGTCACAATATTTAATTTATTCAACTGGTTGGATTTGTTTAAATCAAACTAGAATTATGGACTGAACCTGTGACCTACATGTCTGCCTTTCCTATACCCCAGCTTATTCATTTACATTCAGAACATTTATTTAATTACTCAAAAAAAATTTTTTGAGCCGCTTGTAGAAAACTGTATTTTACCATGTGTTGCTGTTGGCAAGGGAAGCTCTAGCTCCTTCTCTAAGGATTTTGAATCTATTACAGGTAAATTATATGGAAATGTAGAATAGAATATAAATCCCATTCAAACTTTTAGAGACTATGATCACTTTCATATTATTATTTCCTAAAGTAAGAACAATTAACTTCTTCATTCTAATTCCTCTTCCTTCTTCCAGTTCAACAAATACTATAATATGTTTTCAAAATCATAATTTGTGTTCATATAGTCCTCCTTCTAAATGGTATGCTGACCCTTTGTTTTTGGCTGGTGTTTTATGACCATCTTATGTCATAATATTTGCCACTTTTTGCCAGAATATTTGCCAGAATTGAAAGAATTTTAAAAGAATTTTAAAACATAAAATATTATATAATCAAACTTATTTAACTAAATAATGAATTTATTTATTTTTATTTGAAACTAAAAATTGAATCCTATTCTTATCTAAGTTGCTAGGTTTCAACAAATTTAACATATTTTAAACAATGAATAATAACTTTAAGTCTATTTTTGTCAAATGTTTAATTGATCACTTTTTAGTCATAATGAGTAGAATATACATTGTGTACTTTTTTCTCTCTTATTATGAGAAGGCAATGTCATATTGTATATGAGATACGTTTTCATGATACATTCTCAGAATAGAGTCTGAAGTTTTTAAAACTAAAAACATTGTAAACTGAAATTGCTATTATCAACAGTTTTTTTTAGTATTAGAACAATGAGAAAAAATGATTCATCAGAGTACATCTGATGATGGAAACAAAGTCAATTTTAGCTACATAGTTCTAAAAGTATACAAAATCTCCATTCTGAATATTTAATACTCTAACTGGAAGAATTCCGCACATCTTTTATTTTCCTTGAACTCTATAGGAATGACATTTTAATGCATATTTTTTCTTTTAAAATATTTTTTAGTTGTAGATGCACACAATACCTTTATTTTATATATTAATTTTATTTGATGCTGTGGAATGAACCCAGTGCCTTACATGAGCTAGGCAAGTGCTCTGCCACTGAGCCACAGCCTACCTCTTAATGCAATATTTTTAAGAATGTATTCCATTTTTATTTAGTTGGGCAGTTAGTGTCTTCTATTCACCCATACTTCTGTATATCATACTAGTTCTCACGAATACTGAAACCCTTCATGCTGCTTATGAATTGGCTTCCACAATAATGACAGTTTTAGGATAATGTTAGTTTAGGGACTTAAGCAACA